CTTGTACTATCTTTTCGTTATATCAAAAGTCTTGACCAGTACTTTGGAAGTGTTGAACATATGACATCATGATTATAAAAAATTGAACATTGCTTTATGTACATAAATTATGATTTACAGATCATTTACACACACTCACAATCAGGGTGGGTGGGTGAGATTTTTGGGCATTTTTTATTTTAGTGGGACCCACACATTGTATTGGTTAGAATTCTTTGAACAATTATTTTGTACATTTGACTTTACTCTAAAAAATTTAAACTTTGAAAGTTGTTAAATAAAAAATTCGTCCCATTTAGACCCTTTGGATAACATCCCTAATATTTTATTGATTAATTATATTCACACTACAATTTTTATTTCTTGCACTACATTCTAATCTTCGCCCATTATAACATTTGGGTTCCTGACAATTTTTCATCACATTCTTATCCTCAAATTTTTCATTAGTTAACACATTTTGTATTTGATAATAATTTTATATCCAAAAGTCTATTGAGAATGCATAAAATAATTTATTTGTCATCATACTTTTAAAAAGTAAATAAATAAAAAATGTGAAGAATATATTTTGCCCTTTATTTCAAAACATGAAAGTAAAATATTTTGTTAAAAAAAATTCAATTATTTCATTAACATTTATTATTTTTACGATACAAATTTCTCAATATAATTTTCATCATTTTATTAGAAAATTTTATATGGAATATGACATCAAAATTTTTTGAAATTTTACATCCGAAAAAGTCATATCTCATGTAAATTTTTGGATGCAAAATTAGATGGGGTATGATTTTTTTGAATGTAAATTTTCGATTGTAAAATTTCTCCCAACTTATTTACAAGTTCGATTGTGTCCCCCTAACTTTAAATTTTTGCTTCCGCTCCCATGTAACGCCATGGTTATAAAAATGAAAACAAGCTCAAAAATAAGTTCATTATTTCAATAAAGAGTCACGCGTGATAGTAACTAATAATAAATATTAAAGACTTCATCCAAACAATAGTTAGGATAAGGTTAATAAGGCGGTGTTTGCAGTTACCAAACAGGTTCTAGCTAGGTCATGGAACATGTCATGTCATGGCTCAAATCCCAAAAGACACGCCTTGCTTGTCATATTTTGACTACTTAAAGGGATCGATCTATAGTTGAATGAAATTGTTAACAAATAATTCTTGTGCATGCATTTCAATGGTCAATGAGAAATTATAGGATGACTATTATGCATTTCAGTTCTCCGAAATAGGGCATAGCCGTATAGGGATTGTTCGTAGTTTTTTTATTTAGTATTTTAAGGTATATTTTACTTTTTTTTTTTTTCTTTTATGAAGTCTTTTTTATTGTGCTAGTTTTTCAACTCATATATTTGATTAGACTTTTTAGTAGAATTTATTATGATCGTCTAAGAATTTTTTTTATAGAATATAATTATATTTTATTGTGCCCCTGTTTTATGGAGATTAAAATTAGGTTTTTAGTAGATTTTGTAAAATTTGATGAAGTATGTGGTTGAAAAGTTGTAAATCACATAAAACATAGGGTTAAAATTAATTTTTTTATTTTGATTTAAATTAAAATCTAGATTTTAATCCTTACCAAATAGGGATTGTCTAAATAAGACCGCTTGGATCAAAACTTATAAAATGGAAAATTGAATGTTATCAATTACGTTTCTAATTTTTCAATATTCAATATGAATCATCAAGTCCAAACTCTCGTTATTGTCTCTGAATCAATGAGGATTTGATGCATATTTTTTTGTAATTCACGTGTAAATCAATAGAAATTAAGAGGTTATTCGTAAACTTCGTGTTGCAAGCTTTTATATGTGCTTCCCGAACTCATTATACCACCTCCCTTGTATGTTCTTGTGTTATCTTTGAAATTGAATTGAATGGGAGGTTGTTGGATGGTAGCACAATCAAAAGAATATCCAAGATCAATGATGTGATGATAATTTCATTTGGTTTTTATAAAATAAACATATCGGATAGCCCTAGCTCATTACCAAAAGATATTTACTAACAAAAATTAGACTCTAATACTTAAATTATACATGAATTTTTATGCAATAAATAAAATTTTAGATATAATCAATTTATCTTATGTTAAAGATTTCATGTGCGCACCAAGAGTTGAGTTAAGTTTCTTTTGTGCTGAGCTATAATGTTTCATTTTTATAGAGAGCTTTTCGCCATAACTCTTTTATATTTTTTTCAATTTGGTTGACTGCATCGATCTTGTTCTTCTAGTCACTATATTTACCTTACTTCTAGTCTTTGTTGTGCTTGATCTTGTCTCATTCCCCTTTCATGCGTGCATTCTTGAGCAAATCCTTTAATATCCGAGTTGAGACATATCATATGAGTGAACGTTCTGATTTTTCATTTGCATTTCTTGAGTTTCCTATTTTCCCCTGAAATTCTTGTTGCATAATTTTAGGATACAACAAGTATGTGTATATTCAAAGTTAATTAAAAAGTCGCAATACTATTTAATTCATATTCATTATAACTATTATCTATAAAAAAAATTTACTTTTACTTTACAAAAGTATCATTCTTAAGATCCCCACGCAGGTGACGAAAGCAGTGACATCACCCACACATTCTGGCTCAAAGTGTTCGTTTATTCTTCAGTCTTCTACTTCTTGGGAAAATCTCACTAGCGGTCGCTGAACTTTCAGAAAAATCAAATTGGTCACTAAATTTTAATGTGTCTCAATTGGGTAATAACTTTAATTTATTTTATAATTGTATAATTATGGCTGGGCTCCCCAGCCTTTTACGTTCTATGTTTTTGGGTCCCCAACTTTCAAAATCAGGGTTTTGAATCTCCAACACAATTAAATTGGTGAATCTGAGTTCTTAAGTGACAAAACTCATCAACATCGACGTTAAAATCTCGAGCGACTTTCATATTACTTGTTGCTAGATGGTATAACCATGAAATCACTTAGTCCCTGTTTGAGTTTCATTCTTATAAAACTTATTTTTTTCAAACTCATTTTCGACCACACACTTTTATAATAAAAGAAATTTATATGTAAACCCAATTTTTTTTTTTCCATTTTTAACCACTAATTCTCAAAAAAATCACTATTCCAAAATTTATTAAATCAAAAAATGGGGCTTAAACATGAGCTTAATATTTATAATTGATACAATTGAAATTTGTTTGTGATTTTAACTTTAAAATTGACGATTTTGATCACGTGACAACTCAAATTTATAGATTGAAATAACTTAGAAACTCCAAACCTAAATTTGAAGGTTGAGAACCTTAACCACATTAAGTAGAATGTTGGAGAACTCAGCCCTAATTTATCTTTTCAAATTCAGTCACTTGTCTATCATCTATCGTTCCATAAACTGACATAATCACTTGGTTGTCATACTGTCATTAATTTTACACTTAAGCGACACCTAGAAAGAAAATTGGTAAAATAAGATTCATGGCAGTTAGACTAAAAGGCTAAATGTGGTTTTTTTTTTTTTCCTAACATTTTATGATGTAATATAGGACTAAGTTGTATTAGGTAAAATAAAGGAACGAGAATGACACGACGGTATAAAAAGTAAAACAAGAGCACAGAATTTACGTGATAAAGAATTACCATGGGTAGAAGAGAATTTTATTAATATCAATAATGAAAAATTATAAATGATTGTGTAGAATATAAGGATTGATTTTTTTATAGGTTTACTTCTCATATATATAGTGCAAAGAAGAGCCTAAGATGTGATGGAGTTCAACTATAATAAGTTCATACAATAATGGAGTGTTTGAGATAGAAGAAGATTAAAAAATTTGTCAAAATCTCGAACTATTCAAAATCGCATAAGACTGTCGCTAGAGCAGACGTCGAGCGATGGTTGGCCGCTCAAGCGGCCTTCTCGAGGCTAGCGAGCACGACACCCCTATTCTGAGAGCTCGAGTGGATGCTGCGTAATGCTTCTTTCTCCTTGCATGATTTCTTTTTCTCCTTTTCCAAATTGAACTCTTTTAAATCTTCTTTTAAGTCCAAAACAACTTTCAAACTCCCAACATAACTCCCAAACCAAATTCTAACTAGAATTCCAAATAAACTTCAATTAGAATTATCAGGTCAACTTCAAATAGAATCCCCAAATAATCTTCCAAATAGAATTCGGGTCACACCCTAATTTTAACAAGTTGGCATATCACGTAGTAGTTATGTGGAATAATTGTTGTGGTCGGATAGTTAATTAAGTAATTTTTTATCGATATATATAAATATAACAAAATGATTTGAAACTAAATTGATTTTCGGTCAACCAATCATGATAAATAAAAATTTAGTAACACAATTGTGAGTCTCTATTTAAGCTTCATTTTTCATAATGAATTTTGTGAGAGTATTTATTTATTTGGAGAACATAAGCCCATGTTTGGTAAAGATTAAAATCAATTTTTTAGTAAATTTTGATAAAAGTTGATGAAATATGTGGTTAAAATTAATTGTTAACTTTGATTTGAGATTGTAATTAGATTTTAATACAAACCAAACAAGAACTAAAAGATAGAGCAAAAATTTTGAATTTATGTGTAAAAATACTTTATTCGAAAATGTACAATCGAATATAAATCTGAAGAAAAATAATTTTTATGAATGGACTCAAATAAACAATGGATGAGATTTCACTAATTGCAATAATTTTATAAAGGTTCAATAATTGCAAATGAAATTTAACCCTCTACCATTCCTCCAAATCTTTGGCTGCGGTCAGCAACCCCATAAATTTCTTGCCCCCCAAGCAAATAGTCTTCTCCACCCTACCCCTAAGCCTACCCCTACTCCTACCCCCACCCCAGTCCCCGCGGCGGCACAACAGAATATGAATTATGAACTACAGTTGCCCACGTGTTTACATGCATATATACAGACACAAAGGTTCCATTTCTTTGTTTCAAAGCAGCCTTCGAGAGTTGGGGTAATTGAACTCAACTGTGAACAGTTAAAGAAATCGTAGAGTGAATGAAAGGTGGTGCAGATCAAAATCATCAGAAGTTGGAATTGCCGGCCGGGTTCAGGTTTCATCCGACAGATGAAGAGCTCGTGGTGCATTACCTGTGCCGGAAATGTGCAGGGCAGCCAATTGATGCTCCGATTATAGCTGAGATTGATCTCTACAAGTTTAACCCTTGGGACCTTCCAGGTTACTTTTTAGTTTATAGTGTTATACTATCGTTTTTTTCCTGGGTTCTCTGCTATTGCTTGGGTTTTAATTTTTTTTTTCTGGGTTGTGCTATAAATTCACTGTTGAAAACTGGATCAGTTGTAATTTTCTCGTTCTTGGATTAATCGGAATCACGGTTTTGTGTATAATTCACCTTTAAAATCGACTTGTAAATATACAGTATTTATTCAAGTAGCTATGAGTTCACAATTTAAGTATTTTAAACATGTGAGGTGCAGCTATAAAGTCGTTATATTCCACTTCTAGATCCTTTTAGAATTATCATTCCGAATGAGCGATTTTATGGAACCAATGTCACTGCAAAGAACCCTTAGAGGTAGTGGTGGATCAAGGAATCCAGGTGAGCATGAACGGTCGCTCGAGCAGCTGTCAAGCGTTCGCCCAATATAAGAAAATAAATATTCCAGCGGGGCCAGCACGGGCGGCCACAAGGGCTGGCCAGGTGCTGCTCCTCCCCTGCTTCCAGGTCACTGGAGCATAATGAGGGTCATCCCACCAGCTTTTATACTAACGGTCTCCAAGTAGAGGTTAAGCACGCATATTAAACCTTAATTTAGCCATGTTGGACTCGATCAAAGTCATTATGATTGCGGTGAATGGAATTTGATATAGATAATTATGATTGAGTTTTCACGAAGTTGATTTTCTAACAATTTGAAATTGCCTGTGAAAAGTTTGATTCATTTCTAAATGATGCTTGATTTTACAGGCATGGCACTTTATGGTGAGAAAGAGTGGTACTTCTTTTCTCCAAGAGACCGGAAATACCCGAATGGTTGTCGGCCAAACAGGGCAGCGGGATGGGGATACTGGAAGGCCACTGGAGCAGATAAGCCTCTGGGAAAGCCAAAGTCACTGGGAATAAAGAAGGCTCTGGTTTTTTATGCCGGAAAACCTCCTAAAGGAGTCAAAACCAATTGGATTATGCATGAATACCGCTTAGCTAATGTTGACAGATCTGCTGGCAGCAAAAGGGACAATTTGAGGGTACGTACTAGAACAAGATTTTAACTTTTTTTTTTTGCTCTCAGTACAGTCGAGTCACTATCCTGCACAACCGTCCGTTGAATTAATCATTCTATTTCTTGCTTCTGCAGCTTGATGATTGGGTATTGTGTCGACTATACAACAAGAAAGGTACTATTGAAAAGCATTACAGTGTCGATCAGAAGACACTGGATTTTTCAGATACCGAAGAACAGAAGCCGAAAATAGGAACATGCCCGTATAATGGAATGGTGAACCAAGTGGTGCCACTGGTTCAAGAATCACAATCCATGTTCGACTCATTACAGATGACGAATGATTATCCGCATTTCAACACATCTGAGTCAGTAACCAAGTTGCATACTGATTCGAGTAGTTCCAACCACCACGTATTATCACCAGAGTTCACGTGCGATAAGGAGGTCGAAAGTGTTCCGAAATGGAGCGATTTCGAGAAATCCCTGAATTATCAGCTTAATTACACGGACGGTTTTCAAGATTACAATTTTGCTTCACAAGTGCATTATGATGGCCAGCTCTCTCTGTTTCAAGACATGCTCATGTACATGCAAAAGCCTTCTGACTGAGGGATCAAATTGATTTGATTTTGTCCTTGAGACTATAGTATTAGGTGTAATTATAAGCAATGTAATTCATCCATTGCATACTGAAATCCAAAACCTTGATTATTCTGTTTCCTCTCCTAAAGAAAATAAAAGAAGGCCATTTAGATGCAGCCAGTCATATTTGGTTTGGATTAAAATCTCAAGTCAAAATCAACAATTAAATTTATTTTAATCACACATGGAATTGCAATTGTTCATCTACATATTTTATCAATTTTTTTCTCAGAAATCTGATTAATTCAAAGGAATACTGGAATTTGACGTAATATTTTGATAATCAACAAAAGTCTTCGAAAGCAAAAAATTGGTATTATTTTATTTTAAGTTCAACACATTTGAACAAACCTGAGCCCTTTACACGTTACATCACATATGAACAAATGCGAATAATAGTTGGAACTAGTCAAATTTGATGGGTGCTTGGTTGCCCTGACAGAAAGATAACCTTGTGATGAAGGCGGTTAGAGCAAAAAAAATATGTCTCATAGGTGCAATTAAGCGCTGGAAATCTCGTTATTTCGATTTTGGTAATCCTTGAGAGCGTAGTGACGAATAACTAAAAATCAGACAGAGATAAATCGATAGGAAATGCTATTTGCTTCGTAAGGACAAGAATTCACTTCTACAATATGTAAGAGTGTTCTCTTTACCATTTTCAAGCCATTTTCTGTTTTCGATTTTTCAAAACAGTGAAAACGCGTTCTCTTTCCTATTTTCGAAAACATGATTTTCAAAACGGAAAAAAAATTTGCACTGCAAACACAAAACGACCAAAATCACGTTTTGGTCGTTTTAAATTATGGGTGTTTTCAAAATGCTAAAACAAATACATTTTCAACAATTTCAAAATGAACACTCAAAATACAAAACCCAAAATGAATTCAAAACTCAAAATACAAAATTGAAATACAAAGAGAACAACCACTAAATATTTTGAAAATGGATATTGTGAAAAATGATTTTATTTAGAATTTGTGGTCAAAAAGTGGGAAAAATTATAAGTTCACATACAAAATTATTTTATTGGAAGAATATGATTGAAAATGAGTTTGAGAAAAATGAGTTCTAAATGATCGTTACTAAATCGGGGCTAATAAAGGTTTTCGAAAATAAGCTTCTTCCTTGAATTTTATTCGAAGTAATTAGAATTTCTATAAAATTACCAATCAATGAATTAACTCCGCAGGATACGGATCATGGCTAAGCAAATAAAATTTCTTCAGTTAGGTAGACGACTGCTCCTGTTGATTGGATTAATTTGGAAGAATCTTTTAGTATCATATCCCCGACAAGATTGGTGTTCGGTCAAGAATACCAAACAGACAATGAAAGATTAATGTTATTGGGACATATGTTCAAAAACTTAGACAATGAAAGATAAATGTTATGGGGACATATGTTAAAAAGTACTAGAACTTTAATGGGATTAATAGAGTAAGTCCCCCTAAAAATGTTTTCATTTACGATATGTTCCCCTACCTATTGAAAATTGCAGAAAATCCACTATTTGAAACCTTTTGTGCGTAAAAAACTCTCATGCGGTCAAGTTCCATCAAATTTTTCGTTAAAAACAGTAAAAAATGCCAAAAATTAAAAAGGAATAATTACAATTTTAGTACCAAAACTTTTTTTTCACAAATTAAATCCAATTTTTTATACGTGCCACCTACAATCCCAAATCTTTTAAACCTTATTTTACACTTAATTTTCTCTATTAAATGATATATTTCGAGCAAGAAAGTTGAACATATCTTTTTATTAATGTCCTTGATTTATAAATCATAATTTTTTAGCAAGCAGCATATAACAATCCTAATCATATTGCATCTTTAAAATCATGAAATAACTATGCCCCCGCTAGTTGAGTATTCTATAAAGGAAAATTTTCATAAACATCACTAAATTTGAAAAGTACATTAAAATTTGTCACTTTTACTAACGGTGCTAAAAAAATGTTACTTTTTTTGTGTGAAATGTCTAATTTACCTTCAGCGATACCTTTTTAGGAGCATTTAATGCACATTAATGCTTGACTTGAATGTTATTAAAGTTATGAAGTGATGATTTAATTTTTATACTATAAACATTGGATATATGTATGTTATATTAGGTAATATGAATTTTGTTAATAAAAAAAGGATTTTTAAAAGTGAGCATTAACAAATTCCTTTTACCATTAACAAACCCTAACATTTTAACCATATTCTCCATTCCTAGATGAATAAGACGTTACTATTCGATTCATCATCCATTTTAAAAGGTTAGTATATTATAAATTGTTTCTATTTGTATCTCATAACTGAGTACTTTTGAAATGTTAAATACAATATGGTCATATTTGTTCGAAATTATTATTCTTTGGCTTTTCAAATCTTTTGGAATAAAGATACAAATATCCTATAAAAAATGTTGTGAAGCTCCATATTCAATGAAGTGTTGAGTTATTTATTGGGAAGATATTGTTATATCATAGTTGAGAATTGATTATCACTGTTAATATTTTGAGTATTTCTTCTATTCAAACCCAATAAATATTTTAAAGGATTACATCTTTAAAGATTTACACTACAAATTATTTGAAAAGAAGATTTTGTCATTCGATATTATAATATTGATGATCACACTTAATGTAAAGAAGAGTTTGTTCTAATCACCCATACATATATGCTTGCTGTCAGTTTCGACAATTGAACTGTCGAATTCGATATTTAGAAACCATCAGGTTAGACATTTTAACTGTCAAACTTGACATTTCGAAACTCTCGGATAGATATTTCAATTGTCAAATTCGATAATTGGAAAATATCGAGATAGACATTTCAACAACCGACCTTTTGCTATTGTATGAATTTACTATTCGAATATGTCACTTTCATGCTATTAAATGCCGAGATATTGATTGTACAGAATTCTTACCATTGCAATCTCAACTTTTCGAATATGATTAATCATTTAAGATTGCAAATAACCTTACATAATCGTATAAAGACACATGCAAACTACATGTAAAATAACCAAGCTTATTTGTTCGTAGTTGACCATAACATAAGCCAATTCAATCTTGACTCATTTCACAAACTCAATAGTTAAACCCAAACTCAATTTGCCCAGTAACGACCAAAAACCATCTAAACGTGAAATCCTAGTTGAACATAATAATGGATCGATTAAAAACCAAGACCCGTGCAAATCTAGGAGTCGAGCACAAGGATGTATAATTTAAATTATACTTTAAACGTAAATTGACCAAATGAAAAAAAAAATGAAGAAAGCATGATCCTTACCTATTCGATTCAAATAGAATAGTTATCAATGTCTCCTGATGATGATCATAACTCCAAATTCGAAGCACCGAGTTAATAATTGATCATTAGAACATTATTTATATGAAACAAGAGTGAAAAACATAGTTATAAGAAAAAATCATCGATAACTTACATAAACTCTAAGATTCGCATTTTGATAAAACTAGAAAAATATACAAATCAGGCATATTGTATCAATTCGGGACAAAAAAATGCGAATGATAAAAAAACAAACACCCCTAAATGTGAAGAATCAAAAGAAAAGAGAGCAAAAAATGTAAAAGAAAATATAAGAAAGCAAATATCAAGAGATTAATTGTGGTCTTCGTTGGAGATGAACTGATTAATGGTTGTCGTCGACGACAATGGGTTTTTGACTATTCGAATGAGAAAGAGGGGCGTGAATTTAGGGTTAGGTGAGTGTTTGAATGATAGAGATAGATCAATTGAGTTGTATTTTTAGTTTCTGGTTTTTCACTTTTCTTTTTTTTTTTTTTCCTTTTTATCAAAATTTCAAAATTGAGTTATTTGGATGTGACATTTTTTCAATTTTTTGTACAATTTTTTCATGTAGTCAAATCTTATTTCTCTCTTTCTTACCAATAAAATAAATCAAATCAAGATGGGATCATTATTTCTCTCTTTTTTACCATTTCTTGGTATGTGCAAAACTTCAAATGACAGAAGCTCAACCACTTTGTGAAGTGCCGATCCCAACAATAGAAGAAGGAATTTGTGTGAATAGCGAGTGTTATTCCTAATGCCTTTTGGAGGAGCTTGTGAATTTCAGGGATCACAAGTGATTTGCCAATGTACCACTTTATGCTTATGAATTGCAATTTGTACCATCATTAATCTTATTGTGTCTTCTTATATAAAATAAACAATCATGCTGCACAAATAGGCTTAGTGCTATGGATTACTTAGCCACACATGTACTGTCAACGCAACACATGTCTCTGCCCCTGATTCGATTGTAAATTATTTGCTACTTTTTATTGTCAAAGTGATATGATGTCATTTTTTGTTTCAAAAGTGACAATCCTTGTGTGAGAAAAGTATCATCTATCAGAAAATATGGGAACGAAATAAGATTTCGATTCCTATGAGAAAAAAAAAAAAAACCCCTGTTTTGCATGTGATTGCTGATGCACACAAACAAATAGGTTAGCAAGGTCATTTTAACACCCATTGAACTTTCATGTGTTACAATTTAATTTCTATGAAAGTGATATAATTTGCTACTTTTTGTTTAAAAAGAAATATACTGCTATTATGCATATTTCAAAAGTTTTAAGTGACATGTAGAAGTCTCTAATATGAATTATATTCTATAATAGAACAAAAATTGTAAGACGGTCCAAACTCAACACTCAAATTTTATAAATCTTCCAATTTTCTTTTCTTTCGTAGCTTTTTCTTCATAGTAAAAACTGAAATTATTTCACTTCATGTTTCATTCATGATTTTTTCAACTCCATATATGCTTTTGTAAACATCAACGACAAATTATTTGATGTTGAGTAGTCTTTGAACTAATGTTGTCACCAATTATGAGTTTCACATATCTATAATTACATCATTTCATTTTTTCAATTGCATTAGCCTCCAAAAGTTGTATGTCTTTAAAATATTCAGTTATATGACATTTTGATA